ATTTTGTTTGCAATTTCTATAATTTTTTATATTTTTTGTAATTTCTGTGTTTTTATGTGTTTTATATTTGAAAATATTTTTTGGAATTTTTCTTTTATATTTTATATTTTTCTATGAAGGTTAAAATGGTAATATATTAACACCCATTAGTCTATTTAATGTCAAGTTAGTGACATGGTGAATTTTAGACATTTTGAAAAGTTATGGTGAATTTAAGAGAAATGTTGAAAACTCATGGTGAGTTTTAGACAATTTCCCACCAAAAGAAAAACAAAGAGGATGACCATTGTCGGAGAAGGCGATCAAATCTCAAATCTTATGTATCCGTTGAGCAAAGGAGTCATTAAGTAGATCTCTTGACCACTGATGCAGATCTTGTATTTACAAACAAAAAATACCTTACCGAAGATGATGACCACTAACGGAGAAGATCAAATCTTATGTAGCCATTGAGCAAAGGAATCATTAAGCAGATCTCTTGACCATCGATGTAGATCTTTGTTTACAAACAAAAAAAAAAGTTACCTTACCAAAAAGGATGACCACTGACGAAGAAGATGAACAGAGCTCATGTAGCCGTTGAGCAGATAGATAGATAGATAGATAGATAGATAGATAGATAGATCCCTTGAGAAAATAAGAAAAGAATATGAAAGAAGAGGGATTATGGACTTAGGGCTTGTCAATGTTATATTTTTATACAAAATTACATTATACCCTTTTTCTCATGCGTAAATAGGACCTAACAAGAATTGTTGGGCCACAAGAATCAAATTCTTAGAAGTGTCTATTTTTCACTCCGCAGAATCACAATTCTGGAGAGATTTTTTTCATCCCATTTCAAATGAGAATCGGTCAACTAGTTTTAACCAAACATGATTCTCATCCCAAGAATCACCCTAATTAATAGAATCACTCCCAACAAGGAGTGATCCAAACGGTTAATAAAGTTTCATCCATCCATGTATTGTTGAAGAAAATACCAACCTAAATTAAAGTTTCATCCATCCAGTATTGAGTTGAATACTTGTAAATATAAGTACAACAAACAAAAAGAAAATATTAATTGACAGACTCAGGCCTTTTTGAGTTTTGGCCATCAATTCAGCCTTTTTAGCCTTCTTCTCATCCATTGTCTTCTTTATTTGCTCTTTGATTTCCTTGGATCACTGGTAGCATCAAGAACCTCAAATTTCTATTCTTTTTTGGATTCTTGGTGGTATGTTGCCTCATCTTCATGACTCCAACGATGATTGTGCGGAGAACCTTGAAACCAAAATAAGCAACGTGAAAGCCAATTGAACATTATTTGTACCTTGAGTGTACCTGATCAAACACAAACATAGAAACAAAGTTAGAATATTGGAGAAACCTCACTTAATTTCTCTATAGCTTAAAACAAAGTGCTCTGTTGAAGGGCCCACACTACCTTTTATGCTCCCAAAGGCTTCCAACTTTTTAGTTTCGTTCTCCCCATTTTCGTGACCACCGGAGTAGAGACATGGAGAAGAGAAAAAGGAAGAAAAAGCGAGGGTTTTCTGAGTTTTGAATGTGTGAAGAAGAGAAGGAAAGAGTATATTTTCTCTTTCATTCAATGCCAAGTTTAGATGAATTAGATGCTCGTTGTTGATGAGATTTTTTGGTGTTATTAAGGAGATAAGAACCTCATTCCAGTTTGGATTGGTTGTCTTTTCTTCTTTCTCTCTCAGTTTCATATTTACAGCAATTTGGTGAGATTCAAACCTTTGTTTTTGTTGAAATTCACCTTTCATTTGGTAATGTTGATGCTGTAGTTGTGAGCAAAGGATTCTTCCTTGATGATTGTAAACCTCTAGTTTCAATTAGAAAGGACTATTGTACCCATTAATTTTTCTAAATTAGTGGAAGATTTTTATGGACCATAGGTCCTGTGGTTTTTCCCCAGCTTTGGAGTTTTTCAGGTGTGCTATTTTTTTTGTGTTTGCTATTATATTTTTTGTTGTTTGACTAAAATGTTTATTAGTTATTATTGTTGTTGACAAACCCATTTTATAATACAAAACTTTGGAGATAAGAATCTTACTGTCTTGAATTGTATTCACACTTATTTCTGCTAGTGAAGTGTATCTTCTCCAACAAAAAGTGATAATTAAAAACAATTTATGTAGATAAAAATTTGAATCAATGTATGTTTAGAATTGGATTTTCACTCGTAGACTAGTTTACAATCAGTTTTGAACAGTTACATGACTAGTGAAGCTCATATAGGCAAAATAAAATGAAAAGTGATCGGCATGGATATAAGGTGATTTTAAGATGGTGATCTCTTGGTTTGAAGAAGATTGATGTTGCATTGGGCATTCCTTATTTTAAGGACTTATCTCCTTTTTGCTATTAAAATTCAGTGTTCATAGGGGATCGGATCTAATAGGCACAACGCACAATATAGTAACACTTTCAATGAGCATTTGATAAATAAACTAACAATTGTCATAAGTGGTTTTTAATATTTTTCAAGGGTAGGTTGGGGGTATTTTAAGGGACATGTATCAAAGAATTTTCAAAGTGTTCATTTAGCGTGCTTACAACGTTGTGCCTATCTAATCTATTATGTGTTCATAGAGTCATTTTAACTCTAAAAAGGAGATAAGTCCTTAAAATAAGGAATGCGAAATGCAACCTAAGCCCCCTTGGCACATCATCAACCTTTTTAAATTTAGACACATGACATTTTCTGAGAAGTTGCTTGTAAGCCCACAATCCACTACCACCATTTAGACAAGTGGCCTTCTCATTTTTTAGAAAAGTAGGCACGTGGCAATTTCTAAGAAATTCCTACTAAAACTCACAACTTCGTTTTTCTAGAAAGCTAGACACGTGTCATTTTTTGAAAAGTTGATGCTAAAGCCCACAACCCACTACCATCGTTTTCAATCCATTCCTAAAAAAATACAAACAACCACTTCTATCTACATTTTATCAGTCTCACTTAATCATTAACCCTCTACATATCATAATAAAAAAAAATTATCCATATTCTAATAATTATTGAAAAGCTATTTTTTGAAATTTTAATAATTATTTAAAATATTAATAAATATAAATTTAACAATATTAATTTCATTAATGTAAATTTAACATTACTGATTCCCCCTATGGGATCATTCACTAGTAGCAAATGAACCAAATACAGGGATTCCATATGCTCACGAGCACATAAAGTTAACCAAGCAACTGAATGATAGAAAGCAAAGGTAAGAGAGCTGCAATATCTAGATTTGAATGGACCCTGCCCCAAAGCCCAAACCCAAAGCAATGTAAAATATTCATGGGCTGAAGGCCTATGAACAGGTCTATAAACAAAATCTCCTTCCCTTATAGATAAGAAAAAAGTAAAAAGCAAACAAACGGAGCCCAAAGATTGTTGGCATCTGTGACCACTCGCAGGTGCAAATGGACRGATTATGATCCGATCCGAATTCAAATTCGATCCTATTTTACTGGATTCGGATACCCCCTTTGGATTTTCTAAATCGGATCAAACCACAAATATAGGATTCGTTTTAAAATTGGATTGAATTCGAATCAATCTTATATATTGTATTTTTATAACTTGAATTTTTATAATATTTATATTGTTCTATAAAAATACATATACACCGTGTTCTTCTTCTCTTTTCTCAAGGCATAGTGAGAGACCTTTCAACTTTTTTGGGTTCTAAGGTCATTTAATATAAATAAATTAATTTTTATTAAATGAAAAGAAAAAAATCCCTATTTTAAATGTATTTTATTAATAAAGAGACAAAACCCGGCCCAACCTAACATGTGAACAAATCAATCAGGTCCTTATATCGAATGTTCGATAAAATGATCTGAATCAAATTCTAATTAAGGGTTGGAGAATCCAACCGGATTCAATTTGAATTAGAATCATTTTCTATGGGATCCAATCTGGATATCCAATCCGTTTGGATCCCTAAAGCACTCGAGTGATGGTTGCAGCAAGGTTTTGAAAATCAGGCCGGGCGCTGAACCCCAACAGAAGAAGAGAGAACCCCTTTCGGCCATTGCAAGGTCGTTGCACCAAAACAGTATTATTTCTACTTTCAGTTTCAACTACTCCTCCACCTGCCTCATCTTTTTCTTTGGGTTAGGCAATTACGAATTACGATAAGAACAAGCAAATCAGCCAACGCTGAAGCTGAAGACTGAAGCCTGAAGCGCATGATCCGCCCACGGACATCACGAGCTCATTTTCAATCTCACAGCCTGTCATCACTACCCAGTCCCCACCACCTCCCCGGGACCAGATCTGCGATCTGTTCTTCACGCAGGGCACCTCACACCGACCTCACAGATACATTTCTTCATGCATTGGAAACATCTCTCCTATTTATACATTATTATTCATAGAAAATATTTCCAAAGGGTAGGATGTGCATGTGACATCAGTGTGAGGTGTCTTGCGTGAGGAGCAGATCCCAATTCCACCTCCCCTAGCCCTTGTCAACTGTCAACCACGATTTCCATCCTATCTATCTATTAGTCAAATAAGATCCAACCGCTCCATCTCGAGAGCTAGATCTAGAACTAACGTTAGAGTGAATTACAAATTAGTACCTTATATTTTGAGCTTAATCTCACTTTGATACTCTATATTTTGGGTCAATTTCAAAGCTCTCAAAACGTCTCAATTTATAAGTGTAGTCCCTATGTTAATATTCCGTTAGTTATCTATATTACGTGATGACGACGAACATTTGCATCTTTTCATACGCTACTTAACGGCGGTTATCTCCATTTTTGACCAAATTGCGACTTGGAAGTTAAAGGTATTTTAACTGACATGTTTTACAATTCGGGTACCAAAGTGAAATAAGCCCATAATTGCAGTGTCCTAATCTGCAATTCAATAAGTGTGCATATCAGGCGGATGATCATCGTTAGGTGATGATCCGACGGTAGAAAATAAGCACGCAGCCAGGCGTAATTACACGGAAAAGCATTGAAGTTTGGAGAGCATTACCGGCTCAACTGGGAGCCGTCGTCGTGAGTCGTGAGGCATTAACGAGAGAGGGCCGAATCGTAGGGAACCCATCTGTGTCGTCCACACGACTCTCTCAGGTCGGGATTTTGCCGGGCGAAGCAAGAGAAGGAGTACTTTTTGCAGGCGGAGAGTTTCTTACATAGTATTCTTGAATCTCCCTTTTTTTGGTAATTCTTTTCCGAATTTTACCGCTTTTTTGTTTGAGCCCGTAAGAGATTTGTTTTTTCTGAATTTCTGTTCGATTGGAAATGTATGAATTAGACTGTGATTTCATGGAGATATGAGATATTAAGTTGGTTGTTAGGTAGTCTTTGAGGCCTTGGTGGTTCGATTTTCTTGAAGATTTTTAGGGAATTAGAGAATTTGGGGTTGTTGTTGTTGGTTTTAGATTCCTTGCGCATGAAGATTGGGATTTCTTTCCATCAGGTGGCTGAATTTGCAGAGTTTATTTGAGGTGTTTACTTGTGTTTTAGCTGTCTTCTTGATTGAACTCTTGTAGATGTTTTGATACCGGGGCTTCTAGTCCATTAAGCATCTTTAATTAGATTGTCTTGGATTTAGCTTTGTTTGAGGTGTGTTCGCATGTAGAAGATTTAAAGGCCAATTGTTTGTTTCTAGGTTGAGCTTATGTTCATTTCGAAGATTAAATGTACTTCTGGACTAGACATTTTAGTTTTCTCAACGTAACTCGTTACCATCTATGGAATCAACGGAGATTTTGATCGGAAGAAGCAAATTGATTACTGGGTCCTTTTACATTCTGATGTTCCATGTTCTTTTAGTGAGCGTTACATGAGTTTATTTGGTTGTAATTTTTTCTTTAAGTTCTATATTTTTTCCAGATTATCCATATTGTTGGCCAAATGCTCTCTGAATAGGACAAAAAGAAATGTTCTGATGAAGCTGCAATGTTGCAAAGCTAGGCTTCATTTTTTTCCTGGATTTCTTGTTATATTCCTCGTTGGGTGCAATGCGTTTTGTACTCATGTCCTGTTACTTAACATTTCAAGCCTTTAACAAATAGATAAATAGACATCTATAGAGTTGCTACTGGGACAATCCAGTTTTTAATGAGAACATTTATTGCAAAGTGACTGTCCTAGGTTGTTTTATACCTAAGACAATACAATTTAAAAAAAAAAAAAAAAACCAACGTAGGACTGACTAAAAACTCAAACACTTGCTAATGGTGTGAGTGCTCTTCTTTCTTCCCCTCTTACAACCTACATGACTACTTGTACCATTATTTGGAGTTGTATCATTCACCCTTCTTGTTAATGATATCCTTGATGGATAATTGGATACTTATCAAAAAAAAATGATATCCTTGATGAACACAATATCATGAATGCCTAACTTGTACATCTATAACAGGCAAAAACTCCCATATTCATCAGAAAAAAAAGGCAAAAACTCCCATCAAGCTGTACGATGCCCACTCCTCTTGTCTCATGAATGTTTTGTTTTGGGTTAGTCCCATGAATTCATGGTAAGGAAAGGACTTGTGTTCCGTAGTCAACAGTTGAGTTGATTCAGATTGTTGAATAGTGGCAGTGGTGGCAGTGTGTGCTGATAATGGAAATCCCAATGCATTGTGTCCTGTCTATGACTTGGTCGTTTAAGATCTTAGACCCTTCTTATTGTTTATAGAACTGCAATGCTCAATTGTTTTGGGTTATCCCCATGAATTCATGGTAAGGAAAGGATTTGTATTCTGTAGTCAACAATTGAGTTGGTTCAGATTGATGAATAGTGGCAGTGTGTGCTGATAATGGAAATTCCAATGCATTGTGTCCTGTCTATGACTTGGCCATTTAAGATCTTAGGCCCTTTTATTGTTTATAGAACTGCAATGTTCAATTGTTCATGGCATGAGACAGTCATCCCCCACCCCCCTTTTTGCTCTAGCTTTATAGAATGACCAGTCATTGTATCATGTTCTGCCTTCATCGATGAAAATTATAGTTACCAATTAGAAAGGAAAGTTTGATATATATATATATATATATTGATAGGCAGGTATACAGTAGCTGCATTAAAGATGAGGAGAAATACAAATATGCAACCAAGAACATCATAGTTTGCTTGGCATGGTTTTGTTCTATAGTCATTTCAGAACTTCCTTAACAAATAGAGGGCAATAACTTGGTTGACTTCTCTCTGTGCATGAATGATCTTTAGAATTATCAATCAAGTCACCTATCAAAAAAAAAAATCTTAGAATTATCAAGTTTGAGAACCCATGATATTCTCTCTAGACTTTTGCAAAGCATATTTGGAATATGTAATGATGAGGAAGTAAGCTTAAGTAGTTTCCCTGAGTTAGTTGATTGTTGACCATTCCATAAAATTCACTTAAGCTAAACCAAGAGGATTGGGTTAAGTGGTTTTCCTTAACTGAATTGCCAAGTTAATTGAGGATATAATTTGTGCTATACCCTCTAATTTTTATCTTCGTTTCTATCCATGACCATTGTCAATCTAAGTAGCATCTAGCATAGCTTTTCCTATTTAAATTATGCCATTAAATTTCAAGCATATGACAAATGGCCTATTGCAAAGATGCTTTTATTTAACTTAAATGCTTTCTCTGCAGGAAAAGTGCTGTGAAAAAGGGGGAATGGAATTCTTCTTTCGAGGGATAAATGAGGAGTCACTGTCAACTGAGCGACCCTTTGATCTTCAGGATATTCAAAGATGCCCTTTCTTGAGGAATATCAATGAACCCACAAGCTTTTCCTTCTCTACAGGGAATTTCCCCATGCCTGTAAGTTTGCCTTTTCATCCTTCTCTCTCTTCCCCTCCCTCTTTTATAACCTGCATGGAACCCAAGGCAAGTATCCGTTTTATATAGTATAGATATAATATAGTTTTGGTTTTATGACCTGATCATTTTTACTCATTTCCAATTGACATCAGTATGATGAAGTTGTAATCCAAATAAGTAAATTGTTTTTTTCTGTCCTTTCATCAGGTGCGGGGTGCCAAAGGTCCTATTTTTGAAGATGGTCCTAACTTTGATCTGGCATTTAGGCTTTTTCATGGGCGGGATGGAGTGGTCCCACTTTCTGGGAGGTCATATTCACATTCTGATAATCTGAGGCCTGAACCCACACCCCAGTTTAATCCCTTAGCAGCAAAAGCAGCTACTATCAGTTTATCAGCATTTGGTCCAGGAGGGGGGCCCTTCAACTTTGATTTCTTCTCTGGGAAATGGAAGCAGCAGCAAAAGAAATCCAAGTCATCCAACAAGAAAGAACAGTCTTCACAGGTACACGAAACTCCATTTTTATTAGCATTCAAAAGTCAAAAGTACTATATGGTTCTGCAAAAATATGGATGCCAGATAAGTCTTTCATTGCTAAGCCTTCTGATGCAGTTGCTTATTTGCATCTCACAGGGAGGAGATTCGTCAAAACATGAGGCTATGAGCAACGAGTGGCTGGAGACTGGAAACTGCCCAATTGCCAAGTCCTACAGAGCTGTGAGTCGTGTGCTGCCACTTGTTGCCAAGGCTCTTCAGCCCCCACAAGGCATGAAGCTCAAGTGTCCACCTGCTGTGGTTGCCGCACGAGCAGCACTAGCTCGGACAGCTCTTGTGAAGAACCTCCGGCCCCAGCCTTTACCTGCAAAGATGCTGGCGATTGCTGTATTAGGCATGGCAGCCAATGTACCCTTGGGAGTATGGAGAGAACATACTCGAAAGTTCTCGCCATCCTGGTTTGTGGCAGTGCATGCAGCCGTTCCCTTCATAGCCATGCTTAGGAAGTCTGTCATGATGCCAAAGACAGCCATGGCCATTACAATTGCAGCTTCAATCCTTGGACAGATTATAGGCTCCAGAGCAGAAAGGGTCCGGATGAAAGCTATAGCTGAAAAGGGAAGGTTGTTAACAGAACTGGAAACTAAAGCATGTGCCATTACTGAACCTATTCCACATCAGATTGGTGACATTAAAGTTGGACATTGCGGTGATGAGAGGATGATATGGGACCCGCTTCCACTCAAGGCATCTGGACCTACTTCATCTGCAGATGTTTGTTTCTGATTTTCAATGCTTTGTTCTATGATGTGCTGTACCATGTTCATTTGAAAGATTAAACTGCAGGTCCTGCAGTCTGTGGCAGATTGTGAGTGATTGCAATTTAGGAAGAAAAAGAGAAACTGAGAATGAAAGAATAAGGAAAGAGTCTTCTCACTTGTAGTGACTTCTCACTTGTAGTGATGTTATGCAATATTTTTTTTTATGTTTTGTTTTATTTTGTGCTTCTATCCACACAATTAAAGATATCTTATGGTTGATTCCATATAAAGTTCACTCTTGTAATTTCGTTCACTTTAGTTTTCTCTTAAAATTCCCCTCTTTGGCCTCTTCAATCCTCTCTTTTCTTTTCCTGGTAAAGCGCGGAAAAGGTAACCAGAGCTCCAAATTTTTTATTTTGAGAGTCTGGACAAATTAAGGATTCCTTTTTTCTAACTTGAAGCCATAACCGTGTTAAAACTATGGGAGAAAGCTCAGAAATATTGATGCCCTTGTATACTTGAAAAGCAAGCTTGGAACTGTTTTCTGCCATCTCTAAATAGCTTTGCTCCCGAAGCCTCCTCACTCAAGCTAGCATTGGCTGATTCTTGGTTTGAAATTTGAAGCAATATAATAACTATTAAGAAAAGCAAGCACATCGCATCGCTTGTGTATTGTGTATACCAAACCTTAGACAACATAACCACCATTAATGCGAATGACCTGAGCATTTACCCACTCGCCAGGAAGCCATGTCCTTGGGCTGGCCCAACCGACCCGGTGGGCATTCCTCCATCGCTTTTTTAGCATCCTCCTCTCCTGTAATTGAGAACTGAGAACATATCAGTGGCTGTCGGCCCCGGTGCCACACAATTACACCCTTGAGCTCTTTGGTCATAGTCTCCACGGCAGCCTTGGAACTTGGAAGCAGAATAGGCAGTGAATCCAGGGCGGCCAACCCATAGAGGATGATATCGTTATGATCCACCCACCACCATCACGGCTCATAAGAAGGTGCCTCTGGTGTTGATGCTAAATATCTTAATCCCAATTATCAATTTCAGTATTGGCTAGAGTTAGGGGGGTACTTGGGGTCCAACATCCCCACCCCAGCTGAAGTTACCAGGATATGGGGTGGTGAGTTTAAAGCCTTCTCAGCCTGGTCCAACAGCATCTTGACCTGGGCTGGGTCTGAGATGTCATCCTGGACAGTGATCACTCCAGAGTGAGCAGAAGGGGAGGAGGGAGAGTTGATCTCCTCAGATATTGTGTCAAACTGCTGGTGTAATTGAGTACACAAGATATGCCCCAAGGGATGCATGCAAGGTGGACAGCGGTGGCACGGCCTATGCCACGGGATGAACCTGTAACTATTGCAACCCGTCCGTGGAGACTGGAGAGGGAGGTTGAGAGATTGGTTCTCAGAGGCTATGGATGCTCCAGCCATGGTGGAGAAAGTCGGGGAGAGCTCTGATACAGCCATACAGGAGAGGTGGTGGTTGTTTACACTTCACACACAAAAGAAATCAAAGAATACCAATGGAGCTTTACACTTCTAAAAGTATGAATGTTCCAATGGTCCAAGCCTAAGGTCATACTCATACATGACGAAAGAGTAAAGACAGCCCCAAGGTCTTAACTCTTACCCTGTTACTTAGGGGACTCTTCCTCAGAGAGGCACAGGAGCAGCCTCAGGCCTAAGAGGGGGTTTGGAGATAGTTTTCAACCTCGGTTAATACCTCACTGATTGCATCATTGCCCCAAGCTCAAATTTCCTCTCTTATCATTTGGGACTGGTTGAAATTTCCCCGTCTTCTAGGAAATTGTTCTGAACATCCGTTACTAAATTTATTGGGTTCGACTATGATATGGAAAACATATGATATCTGAAAAACATCTGACCAATCAACTAGAATCATAAACATGATAGTCAATCAGGTGTTATTTATCAAAATTTATGAATGGGTTTTGATTGGTTAAAACTCTTCTAATACCATATTTTTCCCACATCATAGATTTCGGTAGGCACAAAAACCCCCTTCCATTTGGATATCTGTCACATAGGCTTTATAAAATGTTATCACAGTCAACTTTTTCATATGCCCAAAAATACCTTGTCATTCCAAATTTAAATTTTATTTATTCAAACTCCAACGCCCTTCTCTTGCCTTGGTAATGGTATCAAATTCATCATCATCATTCTCGTCATCTAAATGTTGTTTCAAATATACTAGCGGGGACCCGTGCGATGCACGGGATTTATTAAGCCAAAGCTAAATAATAGAAAGGGTTATTTACTAAAATACCCCTTATAGTTACATGGATTTATTAAAATCTACCCTATAGTTAGTATTTTACTAAAACAACACTTCTAATTTGTAATGGATTAAATCAATCTTCCATTAGATGACAATGGAAAATGACAGTGTTGACCCTAATGTTCATTTAAATAAATTTAATCAAAAGAAAATAAAAATAAAATACCATTTTTGTCCTTAATAAGACACAGGCAACCACTCTATTGGCTATATTTGGTCAATTTTATTTTTTATACAAAAAAAGTTTTAAGGGTATTTTTTGAATGAAAAATCATGGGCCTAATGGCCAAATAAACACTCTTTAATGAAAGGTTGATTAAGTAAATAAGTTATAAAATATATGGGATGTTTTAGTAAAATGAAAACTATAAGGTAGGTTTAAGTAAATATGTAAAACTATAAGGTGTGTAGAAATGGAAACAGGGTGGATTTGGGGCTGGGATCATATTCCTAGTCCTCGATCCCTGTGGTGACCCGAATCCCCAAAATGTTTTCAGATAATAGTATTTTTTAAATAAATAAAAAATTTTAATTATAAATAATGTTTTAAATATATTTTGATATATAATATAAATAATATAATAGTATATTTAATATAAATAACATTTAATATATATATATATATATAATCGGGGTCAAGGCAAGGCGGGGACCTCAATCCCCATCCTCGGCCTCGACCCCAACCAGGGATTCCTATTAATCCTCGTCCTCGTCCTTGCCCCGCCAAAACAATCCCCATCCTCAACCCATTGGGTCGGGGAAGTTGGGTCCTCGTCGGGGATGGGGAAAATTGCCATCCCTAAAGTGTCTATTAAATGACCCTAATAGAAACACATAAGAGTATACAATTGTTTTATATTTTAACTTTTTAAATAATTAATAATTATTCATATTCTATATACTACTTTTAATAAAATTTTTATAATACAAAAATAACAATAATTAATTTCATTTAGGTTTATTCATCAAACTGATGAAACTGACCAACCTGATTAACTCGGCCAAGTTGGATCAGTTTTACTTTAGCCATTTGTAAACTAACCAAAATTGAATGATGATATTTTAAATATAATTTTTAATATGGAAAAGTGGGAAATTTTCCATATTTCTTAGTCTAAAATGTCWTATATCAAAAATCTAATTTTTAAATTTATTTTTTAATAATTGYACTATAATTTTTAAAATTTAATTTAATTTTTTAAGTTTAAATCTTTTGAACTGACTGACCAAACCAAAAAACAGACCCAAACCGATATAACTTGAGTGGGTCGGTTTTCACAAAGGGTTAGTCGGTTTCAGGTGACCAACTCCCCAACCTGACTATGTTAATTTGGTTGGCACAATAGCCTACAACCGAACCAAATCAACTCATGAACGCTCATAATTTCAACTAAATTAATAGTCTCATCTCTGATAAATAACAATAGTTTAATCTCCAATAATTATTGAAAATTTATAGCGAAAATACACAATTATTGAAAATATATTGATAATGAAAAATACAATAATTACATAAATTACAAAAATACAAT